TGGGCAAGGGTTCTGCTAACTGATAGCAGGCAAGATTTACCTTCGCTCAGTAGCGTAGAATTGCGCAGGAGACACTTAGCGGCCAGTAGACCAAAAGGCCGCAACAGTCAAGAAATCTACACCATGGACTCTTAGACCAGGAAGCAAAAATCTGCAGGCCAAGCCTCAACGGGGCGGTGGAAGCCGAGCTTCTCCCAGTCCACCTGATGTCCATTTGGGGCAGGGGCCGTCCAACAAATCGTCATAGTAAGCAGCTCTGATAATAACCGCAGCGGTATAGGTGCAGTAGCAGTAGCACGCTACTGACAGCAGCATCAGCAGTCACATCAGCAGTAGCAACAGCAACCGTCGCAGTCGGCAGCCGCACCATCATGGCAGCGGCTGTGGCCGCGCAGCATGAGAGTGAGGAGGAACAGCAGGAGCAGCAGCGCCCGCGGTAACAAGCTATCATGATACAGAAGACAATGAACTGCTTTACAATCCAGGAACCGTAAGAACTAAGATTCTAGGAATCTGGCTTGTTGTTGTTGTTGTTGTTGTTGTTGTTTTTAAATAGTTTTTAGGCAAGTTCACGATAATTGCCACTGAAATCCTGAGAATCTGTCTGCAAGACGTGTCACTATCATCATAACTAGAAGTTACAATTCTTGCCCCACGCGCCCATAGAGGCATCCATGACGTTATATGGACACGGGGATGTCCAAGGGATTATTGGGATTCTCTCTTCAGGTTACTTTGGAGGCAGGCCTTGCCAGTGAGACCACCATCATCTCCTCCTCGCTGTGCGATGCCCGCAGGCCTTGGGACAAGGGTCCAGGGTTTGAGAGGATGTCTGAAGGAGAGGGCTTGAAATATTGTATCCTGGTGCTGGCCAGCACCACTATACGGTCATGATCATTGCAGAACCGCGAAACAGGAATGCCCAGGCCTAGGCCTAAGCCTTACGCTGCCTTGCATGCCCAAACTTGAGGGAACTCCATGCGAACCTTGCACGGCACGGATCTGCAGGAACCACAGTCTGGGCTGGCAGGCAGCGGAGTTGGAGCACCAAGACCCTGGGGAATGGAGCCTCTCGTCACTGCGCAGGCTGGACAGCAAAAGACAGCAAAAGCAGCCTTCAAGGTTTCTGGTAGGATTAAGCTTGCGGTCATAGGTCTTGCAAGGTTTTGCGGTGACCAATGGAGGCTGGCCTGGCGATATGACGCTGCCTCCAGGGCCTCGGATCTTGTTCAGGATCTTGCGGCACCTCATGGATCAGCTTCCGCATTGGGAAAGACCTAGGGACCTAGTGGCTTCTGTCATTTAAGGGTTCACTGCGCAGCAGGATGCAGGAGGTGACAAGGATGTTGGGCGTGGGTCTCAGGACAACACTCATCGTGCGCGTCCCGAGTCATTTGAGGCAGCGCCTCACTGCAGACACGACAGCTCACTAGTTGGCTTGTGCTTCATGATGCTGCAGGCAGCACTCGTGGCTCTGCAACGTGCTTCAAGGCTAAGATGAACCTGGCATGCTTCGTCTTCAAGGTAGCCCGCCTTTGCGGCGGTGCTGAAGGAAGCTTGGAAAAACCGCTCAGCCCGCACCTTTCGAGCTTTCAGGCTTAGGGCTATGTCAAAATGAGCAGCAGCGATGCTGAGACTCAGTGGTTTTCTTCCAGAAAGTACAAGTCAATGTTCCAAGGTCGCTGCCCCCTTGTGGAGCTTTGAAATGGAGGCCATTTCCTGCATAGATGAGGGGTCCCAAGGTGTTGCCCCCCCATGTTCTGTGCAGCGTCGTCAGAATTTGCCATGGGAACACGTCGAAAAATGCGGCCAGCCTCTGGTGAGAGGCAAAAATCGAACAGCTTTGTGTTCTCCAGGATGTGATTGGGATTCCAGCCTGGAGCGTTGAAATTCAGGAGCTTCACTGAACAGCAGGCCATTTGGATACGCTTCTCTTGCTCCTTTAGGCCCCGGCTTTTCGGAATGATGCAGTGGCCGCGCTGCAAATTCCAGCGCAGTGCCACCTTCATGGGATCAGACTTGTTCAGCCCCAGAGGTCCAGCGGTGCTCAAATGTGGCAGCTTTGGGGCTAATACCGTTACAAACGATACTATGACCTACACCGTCATCAGCACTATCAACAGTTTTCTTCAAGACATAGCTTCGTTGACAAGATTTTGGCATTCACCATCCAGCCATGTCACTGTCAACACCGACGCCAGTCAGTCTGTCATCCCTGCAATATCGGCGCTCAACTCCTAGCAATGCATCACGCAAATGGAGCGATTCGCCCCAAATCCAAACCCAGAACCCTGCACCCTCCTGACCTGGGCTGCCGATGCATCATAGCGCTTGGCGATGCTTTGCAACAGCTGAAGCTCGGGCACCTCGCGCAGCTACTTCGGGGTTGCCTTTAGCAAGTAATCAATCGATTCCAACCACTTTCTTATCCTTTCTCTGGCAAAGATCTCGATTTTTTTTTGTGGGACCTTTTCTCCTCAGGTCTTTTTTGAGGATCTTGGGACTAGACAGAACATCCAACTGAGGGCAATTGGCACCTGTTCCACTGTCTAGTCCAGACTGGTCTGAGTCGCACAAACCAGCTTGTTTCTCAAAGGTGCCGTGCAGCTTTGCAAAATGTCAACGATGGAAATCAGTTCAGTACGCTGCCCAGCACAATGCACCAGAAACAAACATCTGCGTCCATGCATCATGCATGGCATCATCATTTGAAAACATAATTGCTGAACATACTTGCCCTTCCCTCATCCTCCACTCACGCCTTCAGCAAGGGGCGCATCTCTCGAGCATCCGATTTAGTGAGCACCTGCGCATCTACCCTGAGAAATAAACAAGTTTGACAAAGCTGCATAATGGCATAGCTGCACCGGCTGGGGGAAGCTACTATTATAACACGCCCCCTACAATGTATACAATGCCTACATTAACACACACATTCCAAATTTCTGGCAGTGAGGTAAAAGATCACTTTAAAGCTGTGTGATTCGGAGAGATGTCTCAAGTCGACTTGGGAACCATAGCTACGACAATCACCTGCAGATGTCGAGACACGCCAGGGAACGGCGTCGGCAAGCACGGATAAACTCCAAGCCTTACATGCCCCCTTCCGCAATCCTGAATACCAATTACAACAAACACCTGAACCCATGACTACGTCCCGAACTGTCGGACCTGGGACCTGCTCCAAAGCTCACTCGCTCCGGGAGCCTTAAGGTAGGTCTCCACCTTGTGGGGCGCCCCCAGGGGCGAGTAGGCCAGGACCTCCCCCAAAACAAGTCATGGTGGAGCTTCGGCTTTGGGAGTTGGTGCTCCAGGCTCCAAGCTTGTCTGCCCTAGAGAAGTGAAAGGGTGGGAAAAGCCAGCCGAAAGAAGTCTGTGAACAAAACCAAAAAAAGTTGCAAAAGCAGTCACTAGTTCAATGCAGCTTGCACGCGTTTCATCTGATGGCTGCAGAAAGTGATAGCCTCAAAAGCAACAGGCGTGGCAATACGTTTTGACAGTTGCTGCAGGCTGCTGGCTGCGCATTTCGGGTCCGAGTCAAAATTGATGCAGGCCCTGAATGAGAAACATGGCTGTAGCAGCCCTGGCCTTTGGCCTCTCGACCCTCTTCCAGCTCATGGCCTGATCCCTCAAGCTCCCAAGCCAAGCCAGCTCTTAACAGGCAGCACTCAGAAAAAGGGCAGTCCTGAATCCCCATGCTCTGGCACAGGTCGGACATCTCTTCGTTGGTATTCAACGGATGAACCTGCCAACACATGAACACATGATTGCACTCAGACAATGCTGCTTCTTGCGTCTCCTGCGGCAAGCAGTGGCCTTCACTAGCCACCTCAAGTTCCCTAGCACGACCGCAGCCATCCTAATGAATCTGATGCAACGAATGGAGAACTATGAAATGCCCAAAGATAGCCCAGTCCAGCTAATGCAATATGCAGCAGGGAAAGGGCGCTGACCTCCATTGCCAGAACTGCAGGCGGCAACTTCACGCCCGCCAAGAACTTCCGAAAGACCTCCACGCAGACCTCCAGGCTTCATGAGGCAGATGCGGGTTGGCTTCGAGATTCTATGTATTCAAGCCGTAGGCTCCAAAAAATAGACTGTGAATTTGAGTACTCCTGCATCATGTTAGTACTGAGCTTCCAGCCTTGGGGCCCAAGAGATCAAAGTTGGACACCCCAAGGAAGCGAGCACGGCCTTCGCGCGCGACCTGCAGGAAATGGGAAGTCGGAGCAAATGATCATCAATCCTAGTCTGCGTAAGGATGCAGCATATGTGTAGCAAACATAGCCTCGGGGGAAGACTGCCGGCTACTTCTACATAGCGCGTCTGTAGCACTAGCCCGATCATGGGTTAGATTTCTGCTGACCGCATCACCCGAGTATATTGCAAGTAAACGTAGATATTCCGATAAATTTGGCGGGGTATGGACTGAACCTCCATTAGATTCCCCAACCTAGTAGGTTTGACAAAGAGCAAACCTCCTCGACCCAGGGCCACGCCGCGGGCACCTGCCTCAGGCCAAGGGTGACTTTCAGGTCAATGAAGCCAAATAGGCAGGGTGCTCAAGGCCTGCCTCAACCATCAGTTGGGACTGGTGTTTTAGGACTCCAAGGTGCAGACTCCGGCGGGCAGTCCACTGTAAGAAGGTCTACGTAATCCACTTTCAGCTCTCCTTGGCTGGGGTTAGGAAGCATGCTAGCTGTCATCAGGAAGCATGCTGAAGACGCGGTTGCTGCTATTTTCATCCGAGTGGCGTAGAAGCATATCTACCTCACTCCGCACTTGCTCCCGGTCCTCCAGAAAGGCAAGAGGCAACAGCAGACCGGAAGTGTGAGCTCAAATAAGTCTGCGGAGAAGCTGGATGTTGCTGAAGTTTCGTAGAGTCCTTGCACTTGGAGATCCTGCCGCAGAGAAAAACCTCCCCACGAACGAGAGTCTCTTGCTGCAACGCCTGGGATGCAGGGTACTTGTAAACAGCTGCCTTCGGACTGTCCTTGAAAGAAACTGAGCAGAAGCAAGAATCCACCTGTTGCAATCTTCCGCTACACCTGTTGAATGCGTGTGCTCTTTCGTGCAGGATTGTTTGTACCTTGTGATAGCCTGTGCGAGGCTTCTTGAAGACCTGTTGGCAAACTACTTTCGCAAGCCAAGTGTACTTGGAGGCGGTGGTGATCAGTTGTGCTTCGAATGGGAAACAACAAATTCGCAAGCATCCATGAACCTCTTGTGACTCTAGGAGCGTGTGGATGCTAGAAACCAGGCATGTCGGCGCCCGGCATCTTCTAGAGCTCTGCCCAGGCTTTGCTGGTTCATGTGACCTGCCACAGCTTCGAGCGCACTCCAACAGTCTAAGGCCTTCACAACCAGTTGACCAAAGGACGGCAAGCCGAACGAATATGGAACGAAATCAAATCTTTTGATCACGTCGATCAACAAAACCCTGAAGATTCTGCATCTGTGCAGCGGCCAGCTACTCCAACTCACAAACATGCCAAGAGCACGGTTGCTGCAGTCAATGAGCCTCACACCGGCTGCTAGCGCTTCCTGTCAGGTGCACAGGTGGCCATGACAGAAGGCTTGATACATCCTAGATTTTGTTACACATAGCCCACCTTCTGTTGCTTCACATCTTGAAAGTTGAGGTGGCATGTAGCAGCACCGTGTGTTTTTCTTAGCCCGGCGTCTTTGACCTCGTTTTCGATCCCATTGTCCCTGGCCTTTACCGCAGCCTGCGTCAGCTCGTCAACCCGCCGATAGAAGTCCTTGTGCAGACTTGCAACTTTTGGGAGGGCACTTTCCTGGAAGTTTGCAGTGATGTGTATGTACCTGCCTTGGCTCTTCTTGAAGAAACCAACTATAGGAAAGAAACACCATGCAGCAACCTCCCATCCACGCAATGTCAGGATGCTTTCACTTTGCTGGAAGACTGAGGATGGGTATGTCATGGCCTGCACCCGATCGTTGCTAATATAGGCTGAACCCTCACATCCGAAGCTATCAGCCATGACCCGCAAGCACGATCAAGCAGTTTCTGCGGGTCCTGATCGGAGACCCGCTCTGTCAGATCCTCCGGCATGAAGTGGCCTTGCTTCCGAACCCAGCATATAGAATACAGGCTAGGCGCGGCAACTGTTGTTTGCATGACATCCCTCCGCTGACAGCATCACGGGGCGGTTCACAAGCATCTGGGAAAGCAACTTCCCAAGCCGATCACAGGCAGCTCCTGGAAAAGCTGCGCAAGATTTGTCTTGTTGATATCGCTGCAGTGTCGATGCAACTGACTAGCTCAAGTACATGTCAGCACTTGGTTCACTTGGGCACATTGGTGCATCAGTACTGGATTGAAAGGCCCAAGGCACGACACCCCGACAGCTGTGGCTGCGTTACGAACTAGAGATGGATCTGTCCATGGATGGAACTTCCTTTTTCCGATGGATTCATCTTAGACTGCCACGAAGCTCTACATGAAGTGACATGGCAAACTTTGCTATCTCAACTGCCGATCCTCCAATGTCACCTGGTTCCTTTATCCTTACTGGGAGTTCGAGCTTGAGACTTTGCAGGTCAAATCACACGGACAGATCCGCAGGGGCAGGCTGAGATAAAGAAATCTTAGCAAATCCGAAATATGGAGCGGGCGGGCGGTATGGCTGAGGCGGGTTGTTAGTGTCTTCGATCCAGTTACGAAGCCAGATAAAATTGCAACGCGTGCGAATGGAGTTCTGCCCGCTTTTATTAGCACTGGCTGCATCAACCAAGACCGTGTGGTGTAACGTGCTCCAGTTTCCACTCTGCTTCAATTCAAGTTGTCGCATGTTTGAGGAATCGATGTCACCGTCGCGTTCATCACAGCCGTCACAGCCAAGGCGAGACCACGAGTCTCAAGCACCCAAGCTGCTCACAGACTCTTCAGAGTCATCATTTCCCCACTTCGCCTGAAAAACACATGCTAGCCTCCCATAGTTAACTGTTTGGAAACCTGTTTGCCGGCCCTCTCTTCTGATGCCACCATGACACTGCATACTCAGCATCACTCACAGGTCCTGGAGACCAGCTGCAGCCGGCCTGCTTGGTCTCAGAAGGAGCTTGTTGAGTGTATGGGCGTGGTCACATTGCCAGCTTGCTTGTTCAAGGTTTTTGCCAACACCTGGAAATTCTGAGGTGTCGATTTCAAGATGTGAAGGAGCTCAGGTGTCGGGCTCCTGGTTTGGGCTTGCTTCCAAGGGAAGCATTTTTAGGGTTGAAACCATGGGCCTCTAGCATGGGCCCTTCGTCCTGGGGCCCCCATGTACCCACTATATACCGCATACCCTATATGTGCGCTTAAGGGTGCCCAGAATCCCCCTGAAAGGCCTAAGGGCACATATTAGAGGCCCATACTTGTGCTAATCGCACTATATGTTTGCTCTCTTTCAGAGACCGACTGTAGAGGCAAGCACCCCAGTCCGATGAGACCAGCAAAAGAAACACGAAGGCTGCAGCTGCAGCTGCAGTGGCAGCAGGACATCAGCAGCAACACCACATCCTCAAAATCGGAAAACACATGAGAGTGAAGCAGATAGTTCATGGTAGACAGACATCCTACCAAAGGAGCATCATTCAGTTGCGCCTGGATGACACCAGGGATGGAAGCGGAAAGGCTACCTGTCATAAATGAAAGTTCAATAGCTGAGTTCAGGACCCCGCTGGGGCCCACTTGACTTGAACGGTATGTAGCAATGGTGCTCCACCGTCTAGCAATATGTTGAAAAGCTTAGCAAAAGGCTGCCTGTTGATGGAACCCGCAGTTGGGGCAGGGGCTCCTGTCTTCTGAGATCTTGTGTTGAAATATCGCTGGTCTGCTGTGCTGTTTGTTTTGCTAATCAAGTCTGTTTTTTTCTTGTGGCACTCTCCGGGACTGGAACTCTTGAACCGGCACAGGCCATACAGACCTGCACATCACGCAGATGCCGTTTGAGGCAGAGAAGCTGCCAATCTCTAGCTTCAGGCCTCTGGCACCAATTTGAGCCTCCACTGAGCCCTAGGCATCGCTTCCCGAAATCGCCCTGAAAGCAAAACCTCAAGTTCAGTCAGTATAGCCAGGTGCCTTGATGGCTTTGTGGTCCGAGAGCGGAACATCCACCTGGGCCTCAACCAGTAAAGCGTTGTGCTTCCTCCTTTTCTTCACACTATGCTTCTGTACTTTCTCCAATTGGCATTCTTCCTGCTTTTCTTCCTCTGCAAGCCTTTACCCCACCGCACTTCCTTGTTAAAAGCATCGCCGTTCCAAACTCTAGTTTCAAGTTGCTTGGAAAACTCTGGTTGCGGGGGTTGTGTTTGACACGCGTATGGCCTAACTTCAAATTCTCAAAGTCCAACAACATTCCATCATAAATAGGACTAGCCAAATCAGGAAAAAGGGTGGACGTGGCAAAAAAAATCCTATATCCCCCCTCAAAGCCATGAAGTAACCCAAGTTGTCCCCATTATTGACCTACTTATGAAGGTCTGCTACCAAGTCGCCTGACCCTCCAACAACCTATGCTTACAACCACCCACACACTGCTGCTGCTGCTACTACT